GGGAGCCGTCGCCAGTCCCCTTCGAGGCCTTCCCCAAACCGCAGCTCAATTCATGTCAAAGCCATTCACCTTTACCTACTAAAACGCTGTCAAACCTAAAGATGAGGACGTGGCCCAGCTAGTGAAGTTATCTCATTCTATTCCAGTGTTTTTCTCATTTTTGCTATGTAACTTTGCACTGTCCACTTTCTGCTTTAACAAAACAAATTTCCCTTGTGTGGGACTAATAAAGGTTTTATCTTATCTTATCTTATCTTATCTTATCTTATCTTATCTTATCTTATCTTATCTTATCTTATGTATATATTTTGTATTGCGTTCATGTGCATTACTTGTTGTTTTAAACCTTAAAAAAATTTAATTTGAACTTGACTAGATGCATGTTTTTGGATTGTGATGAGGTGGGAGTGCCCATGCATACATTAGGACAGCATTTAGGATGCTGGGTTAGCATCACAATACCACATTTACAGACAGATAACTTGAAGTTAACCGACAATAAACACTTATTTTCAGGTGGGTACTTGTATCACTCACACTGTGAGGACATACATGTCTTTTATAGTATCAGGAGTGCACCAGGAGGGATAACAAGGTTTAATGTTGTTGTAAGATGAAGGTAACCATTAGACACATACTGCAGAAAACACCAGGAAGTGAATGTGAGTAAGTGTTATGTTGTGCAAACCAAGGGAAATGTAACCGCGCATGTGAGTGCATGTCTTTAACCTGTTAGCAGTCGGACGTACCGCCCACGGTACATTGGATGGTTTAGGGGACTAATTGTAAATTTGTAGGACTGCTAAGGGGTTAATTAATGAGGTTTATGGAATTCAATCTTTTATAGTAAATCAAAATTTGAGGTAGATTAATTTTAGCTTCCATATGTTCCGACATGCTGGTCTGCATTTACTGAATGGTAAATGCCCAACAGAAGAGGAAGTTTAAAATAAAGCTCTTATTGTTCGCAGAACCTTCCTCTTTGTAGCCATTTCACAGCTTCTTCTCTGTTGCAACAGAAACTGCTTTTCAACACCCTTCACATGAATTTTTTTTATGGGTGTCTTATTGGTATTGGTATCTTTTCAGCTTAAGGTCTGTTGTTTGAAAGAAAAAAAGAACAAAACAGGAAGAAGGCAATGAGTGCAAAAATGAAGGGATAGAGGCTGAGTAAGAAAAAAAAGAAGCAGCAAAAGAAGGGGGAGGGAGGTGTGCAACAATTTCCTGTAGTTGCATGCTCTTCAGCGTCTCTCAGCCTTCCTCTCTGAGTCTGTTTCAGAGTGAAGAGCACAGACGAAACTGAGCGGAACAGGATGCAGGCTATCAAATGTGTGGTCGTGGGAGATGGGTATGCTTTTATTTTACTAATTTTAACCAGTGTGTTATAAATTAAAGGGGCCTTCAAGCTTTGAATTACACAGTGGTCGCCCAGCTGACGCGTAAATGGGGATTGGCCCCAGGCTCTGAATTTCAGGGTAATCAGATAGAGCTGTCAAAGGTTGTCACATGGTAGGAGCAACAGTTTGACCCACTTCAGCGAGATTACTGTGCGGTTCAGCGTAAAAATGTAAAAGAAACTTCTGTACTTGTGTTTTATGTCCAGTGTTAACATGTAGATCTTAAGGTGTGTATTTGACAGCGGTGATTCACACTGAGCGCGCTGGATGAGCCATGCAGGCCACAACATGCAGGAAAATGCTTAAAAGCAGCAGAACTCCTCTTCAAAGATGAAAATCCAATAGATGCCACAAAGATCAGTTGAGAAAATACAAACAAAGTGGGAAAAAAGTATGACTAAAAAAAGAAGAGGCAATGAAGAAGCAGAAGCTCAAACGTGTAAATGATTAACCTCATTGTGTTTTTGACATCTGAAAAGTTGTTGAATTTATTTGCCCTAAAGGGTGAAATGTGCTCGCGTAAGAAGTTTGGATGAGCCACCCTCTGCCATCAAATGCGTTTATCGTTGAAGGTGGGGCAAAATGGCTGGCTGTTAAAGTGAAGGAAATTGTAAAGCGGAAGTTCTACAGTTGTTTCTCAAAAATAGTTCAGTAAACACTTTAACACATGCAGTTCACCATCCAGAGGTAGCACACAGGTACTGCAGCGTGTGTGCAGAGCTTCCTGGTGTGTGACACTGATTTTAAAAAATGCAGAGAGAGAAGCTGTAACAGTGACGTGTGTAAATATTTGGAAAGGGAAACATGTGGTGTTGGCTCTATTTCATTTAGCACGCTACATTTACATAAAACCCTTTTTTAAATTGAAAGCCTTTGATTGTCAGCTAATAAAAAAGACCTTGCATGAAAAATAACAGTTCAAGTGATTTAATCAAATCCAAAACATGATTTAAGTTTTGACATTTAAAAAAAAATTTATTGTGTCTTTTCTCAAATATTTTTTGTAGTGTTCAAATATACTTCAGCCTGAGAACTCTATGAAAGGAGCATGCATATATATATAT